AAGTAGAAGTCAATAAAATTATCTGTATGACCAAACACGTCCTAGTCACCACTCAGATCTTGTGATTATTTATATGCCTGGACCGATGCCTTCTCCTTCCCTCCACAACACTCTTGTTGAAATTAAAGCTAAGTTTTCTGATAAGATTGTAGCCATGAAAAAAGTTCAAAGAGCTCTGCCGCTGCCATTGTTAGGGCTTCTGTTACTGCTCCTATGTTCATGCCTCCCGGCTGCCATGGCGCGTCGGCCGGCGGGTTACATGAAATACAAGGATCCGACGAAGCCGATTTCGTCGAGGATTCGAGACTTGATTGGGCGGATGAGTTTGGAGGAGAAGATCGGGCAAATGGCACAGCTGGATCGCAAGGGACTCACGCCGGAGATCATGAGGGATTACTCCATCGGCAGTGTGTTGAGCGGCGGCGGAAGCGTGCCGAGGGAGGAAGCCACGGCGGCGGAATGGGTGGAGATGGTGAACTGGTTCCAAAACGGTTCGCTGTCGAGCCGGCTCGGGATTCCGATGATATATGGGATTGATGCTGTTCATGGGAACAATAATGTCTACAAGGCTACTATTTTTCCCCACAATATTGGATTGGGTGCAACAAGGCAAGCTCTTTTATTCCCATCTTTACCTTCTCAATTTTTGTCTTACCTATAATTATTATTATTAATTAATTAACCAAAAAAAAAACTACACTAGGTCCAATAATACCATGCACTTTATAAAGTTGTATCTTACATTTTAGGACAAACCCCATCGACGTTGGTTAGATTGTTTGACTTGGTAATCAATTATAAGTTTGACTTCTAAGGGTTTGTTTGACTTGGTAACCAGTTAGAAGTCATTTTGACTTCTGACGGGTAGGATTTGTGGCCTTGTTTTTGTAAATAATTGAGACCCTACCAAAAGTTGTAAGATTAATTATAGAAGGAAGAATCGTGTCATCTTCAATGGTGGTGCATGATTTGGAAAAACACATGAGTTTTAGGCAAGATAGAAAAATGGATTTAATTACAATTTTTTTTTTCTTAAGCACCCTCAAAATTGAGGCCATCCAGCCGAGTGACTTATTGATTTTCTTGGTTTGAGTCTATCATCTATCAGCAACCTAAGCTAGTGTACTTCCTTGTGGTATTTACTGATTAAGGTCATAATACATGATTTACCTAGTTAGTATACACACCTTTAATTAGTGCATACGAATTTATCTTGTCAATACAATTTAATAAAACAAAATGTACAACTTTACAAAATACAAGAAACATTATACAAAATAACATTTTTCTTATTATTAAGACAAGTTTATATATTAATGCGTACACTCAAGGCTGTTGACTAGTAACAGTTAAAACTGTTACATATATATACATCTAAGTACCTTTATGGACTAGGACTATGTGGTCCAATGGTACCCGGGTTGGACTTCCATTTGGAAGATTGTAAGTTCGAGCCTCAGTGGAGGCGTTATTAGCTCTTTGTGTTTCAGTAGGTTGAGAAAGTATATGAACAGATACTACAATGTAATAGAGCTAGTAGCATTCAAAAAAAAAAAAGTACGTTTATGGCTTTATGGTTAAGCAATAAAGTCAGATATCCAATAATAAAGCAAAACTAAGACGTATTAAAATCATATACACGCAACCCATGGTCTCCTTTATTTGGATAGGTTTTGGTCCTTTTGGACAAATTTATCTTAAAGTTGCCATTCTTATATTATAAATAATAATTAAAAAAACAGAGTAATACTATTATTTTCATCTCAATTTTTGATTAAATATTAAAAGAATCAATTGTTGATATAGCATCACTCTATTTAAATAATTTCATTAAATAATATCACAATTAAGTAAAATTACTTCATTAAATAGGTGTTAAACAATGGTACAACATTACAATAATTGATGTGATTTCACACCACTATCATTGTCTATAATTTTATATATTTCTTCCTCAAAACGTTACAATACTTGATGTGATTTGGTACCATTGACAAGGTGTCATTGTCTATTATCTTAATATATACCCCTTCCTCTAAACATTACAATACAAAACTTGATTTTTTTTTGAATGCTACTAACTCTATTACATTGTAGTATCCGTACAAAACTTGATATAATTTTATACTAATCTTACAAATTTCTCAATCAAAACATTATTAAAATTTATTTAATTTTGCAGGGATCCTCAACTAGTGAAGAGAATTGGTGCGGCAACTGCCCTTGAGACTAGGGCTACTGGCATAACTTATGCTTTTGCTCCATGTATCGCGGTATTTTCACAATCACTATCTCGAATATATATTTCTTCACAATATAAGTTAAATCATATTAATTGGTTCCTCTCTTAATATCGTGGTTACTTTAGTTTTTCTTTCTCTAATTTTTCATTTTCATTTTCTGTTTTTCAAATTATAGAAATGTACAAGTAAATGGTTTTTGTATTTTTTTTTTCTCTGTATAATAAGTTTTATACATTTTTAGTTGGTCTGGTATGAAATTATCTCATTTAATCCTTCAATAAAAAATATACGGAGTAGTACTTTTCTAAAATTATATTTAAAAAAAAATTATACATCATCACATAATTTAAAAAAAAAAAATCTTTATTTAGTAAATGCAGATCATTTATGTTTCCATCAAATTAGAGTATGAATCCTATAAAGGGAGAGACCAATTCTATCTTTGACTAATGTTTTAAAACGGTGCTACTTTTGTCCATTTTCTCAAGTGGAGGAGAAGGGATAATATTTGATTTAACGTATTTCCTATAAAATGCAAGCTTTTGGTGAAACTTCAATTTCAATAATGTCAACTTTAATGAAAAAATCTTAAAGATTAATATTTTTTTTTTTTTTTAAATAAAAGGTATGCAGAGATCCAAGGTGGGGACGGTGTTATGAAAGCTATAGTGAAGATCCTGAAGTAGTGAAAGAAATGACAGAAGTTATACTTGGATTACAAGGAGATCTTCCCCAGGATTATCCCAAGGGCTTTCCTTATGTTGGTGGCAAGTATGTTCTCTACTTTCTTTTTATTCCCTATTTACCTTTTATAAATTAATAACTACAATTAAATAATAAATAGCGGTTAGCTTATTGGATTTGTGAGTTTGACTAATTGATAGTATCAGCTGATTGTAGAAAAATGTTCCGTAAATTAGCGGTTAGCTTATAACTGATTACATGCAAAATTATTTTTGTAAAAAGTTACTTTAAACAATTTTTCTGTCTCTAGTAATGACAGTGAGTTTCTGATTGTAGGAAGAAAGTAGTTGCTTGTGCAAAGCATTTCGTGGGTGATGGAGGTACAACGTACGGAATAGACGAAAGCAACACAGTTATAGACTGGGATGGATTGCTGAGTATTCACATGCCGGCGTATTATCCCTCCATCCTCAAGGGCGTTTCCACCGTCATGGTCTCCTATTCCAGCTGGAACGGCAAGAAAATGCACGCCAACCGCGCTCTCGTCACCGACTTTCTCAAAGGAACTCTTGACTTTAAGGTACATTCTATTATATATGTCGTACTAAAAGATCCTTGAATTAAGATTCTAATAACGATGTTTGATTCTTTTTTCTCAGGGTTTTGTGATCTCGGATTGGGAAGGGATAGATAGGATCACTACTCCGGATCATTCAAACTACACGTACTCGGTTTTAGCTGGTGTTGGAGCTGGGATTGACATGATCATGGTTGCTTATAACTACACAGAGTTCATAGACACTTTTAACTTACTTGGTCAAGAACAAGTTTATCCCCATGAGCCGAATCGACGACGCTGTTACGCGGATCTTGAGAGTTAAATTCATTTTGGGTCTCTTCGAGAACCCGCTCGCTGATCTTAGCCTGGTCGATCATCTTGGAAGCCAGGTTTGAATCTATACGTCAAACTAATCCTCATTGACACCGGACTGTTTTTAAACTTATAATCTGTCTTAAGAGATGAGAGTGCACGGTGGTTATTTGTTTGCAATTGTATTTACTTGTTGATATGTGGTGATTAGGCTCACAGAGATTTGGCAAGAGAAGCAGTGAGGAAATCACTTGTTCTATTGAAGAATGGTGATGATGATGATGAGGCTTTGCTTCCTCTCCCTAAAAAGGCAACAAGAATCTTAGTTGCTGGAAGTCATGCTCACAATTTGGGCTATCAATGTGGTGGATGGACTATCACTTGGCAAGGCCAAAGTGGCAACATCACTACCGGTACAAAATTCCTTTCATAATCCTTAAATATATATATATAATATTAATAGTACCAGATATAATCAAGTACTAGTATTCCGTATAACTAAATATATTATACATGATTGTACCTAATACTATGTCATTGGTGCTGATTGTAGGAACTACTATATTGAAAGCTATATCAGATACAGTTGATCCAACCACAGAAGTAGTGTACAACGAAAACCCCGACTCCGAATTCATTACAAACTCCAATGATTTCGCCTATGCCATCGTCATCGTGGGAGAGCATCCCTACGCCGAGTACGACGGCGACAACATGAACTTAACCATCCCTGACCCCGGCCCAGCCACCATCGCCACTGTCTGTGAACACATCAAGTGCGTGGTGGTGCTCATCTCCGGCCGGCCGCTAGTGTTGGAACCCTATCTCCCCAAAATGGACGCTCTAGTGGCTGCATGGCTCCCCGGGAGTGAAGGACAAGGCGTGGCCGATGTTTTGTTTGGGGATTATGAATTCACCGGAAGGTTACCTCGGACTTGGTTCAAGACCGTCGACCAATTCCCTATGAACATCGGAGATTCCCACTATGATCCGTTGTTTCCCTTTGGGTTTGGACTAACAACTAAACCACTTATTGCAGATGCATAAGGCCAGGCTATATATATATATATATATATATATATATATATATATATATATATATATATAGTATAGTATAGATAGTTAGTTAGAACGTACACATATATATTGTGGATCAAATCGACATTTTTTCGAGACGATCCAAAATATTTGAATAAATATAGGTTAGAATTATTATTCGTATACGTAGATTGTGATCAATTGTCACAATAAATAATGCATATATAGTCAATCAATAATGTAGTGTCCAATTAATTAGTTATGATCTAATAATTATTTATATTTAAATTTGGCATGTGTTGTTTATAGGCGAAAGTACCTATAAAGTTCATGTACTATCGTGTTTTGTTCAATTCAGTTTTTTACTTTAAAAAGTAAACTAAAGACAATTATCCAAATCTTATTAGGAACATATTTGTAATTATTTATTTTGGATATACTAATTTAATATATTGGTGGTAAAAATAATTAATTTTAAATATTTATAATGTAATATATGAGTAGGAATATAAATATCGTCAGTATCACGTAACCAAAGTTAACGGTAATATTAACACTATTAACTATTGTCCTTAATTGCACTACTTTTGAAAGTACTGAGATTAAATTGAATAAAATACGATATAAGGATTAAATTGAACAAAAACTTATAATACAGGGACCTCGTAGATATTTTGATCATTGTTTATAATTAAGATTGAAGTTTTTACATTTAAAAATAGTAATGATGTATAACCAAATTGGAGTTGGGACCCAAAAATGGCTGCTTGACTGTTTTATCCCCCAGGTCCAGATTCTACTTACTATATATTGGGAGAAGAGGAGAAGAAGATTCTACTTACTATAAATACAAAGATTCTACAGTACTTAATTACTATAAATACAAAATGTCAATTTTCAAAGGAGCAATGGAAGAGATTTCGGCTAATGCGATGTCGTTTCCATATAATAGTAATGGAAAATATTTTGTTGATTCATGAATTCAATTGTTCTTTATAAATTTGATTGTATTTATTCGATTTTGTTATGAAACTAATCCAATTAATGCGTCATTAAAGAAATAGTAAAATTGAACCCCAAAAAAACAATAGAAATAATTAAAACAAAAATGAAATGTAAATTTAAAAAAAAAAAAATTAAGTACAAATAACTAAACACAATGTACAAGTATTCCATATATCCATTAGTATACTTAATGTATATTTTTAATATAATAAATATACATTATTTATGGATGAGGCTCAGCCATTCGCTTGCAGTCTGGCCATCATAGTTTGCAACAGGCTAACTCCTCATATCAACTGGCCTTGTTTTGATGGGACATTAACCGGCTTTTAAATCTTAGCGTTTGTTCCATTAGATAAAGTATCCAAAAAAATTAATAAAAGATTAAAAACATGTGATGAAACCTATTTTGGCTATTTACCATTACTTAACGGAGTTTCTCTTAATAAAATATTAAAATGATTAAAAGTGTCCACAATTTAATAGTCTAAGGTGTTTAAAGACAAAAATGATCATTGAAACTAAATGTAAAATTATGGACATCCATTGGAATTAATTCGATTTTGAAACTTTAAAAAATATAATTTGGTGGTTATGTTTTCTTTTTGCAATATATTTTTGTTTTCTTTTTGATATCGTCGAGGTTGGAGGGAGAGAGAGAGTGGGAACTGGGAAGGGATTTTGGAGGTGGGAGGGATTAATGTTGGGGTTGTTGGATAGAAGCAATTTGGGAGTTGCAGAGGTTGTTCCATCATATTCATGTTGATTGTGTGTTAGTTTCGATTGTTGTGTAAAGAAGAAGGAGAATAACATATGGAAGAAAGAAGACGACTAGGAAAGAAGAAAAAGTAAAGGAAACAAAATAAAATGTCATGTAAGAGTCCACGTCAGCTAAGCAACCGATTGAGAAGAGAGTTTACCGGCTATAAGGTGAAATTGCTATGATTTTATTATTTGAAGAGGGTAATTGTATTTTTTGTTTTTTTAGTTCAGTGGCATGATTGCATTTTCAGGTTTTGTTTACTAATTTGACCCTTATTCATTTCCTAAATAATGCGTTTGAACCTAAAAATAATATATATCGCATACTTAGTTTAGGGTTTAATTGTCAATTTTTAAGGGTGGAACAGTATTAAATGTGCTTGACCCTAACATGGTTGAAAAAATAACTAGGCGTTCTTTGGGCGCCCGAGGGCACCTAGTGCCTAGGTGGCAATTAATTTTTTAAAGATATGTTTAAATATTTTTAATTTTTTAAGACTAATAATTATAAATTATTTAATATTTTAATAATTAATACTAAAATATTAAATATTAATCCTAAAACCATATAGAGTTTGAATAATTTAGGATTATTTCATTCAAAATGATGTCATTTTGAGTAAAATAACTCATTTAAAAAAATAGCTAATTGACCAATTAGGCGGTCTAGTCGGTGCGTAGGAAGCCTAGGCGGTTAGCGCCTAAAAGGCCTAGATGACCGGGCGCCTAGACCGTACCACAGATTATGGTGATACGCTAGGCGGTCAACCGGCACCTAAGCAGAATTTTTGCAACACTAGAACCTAAAATTACTAGCCGAACTCTAAAATCTTAGAGAAATTCAACCAAATACATTCAAATAGTCTAAAATATCATCAAATATTTCTTTTTACGTAAATGCAACACAACAATCACATAAAAAATTTGAAGGGATGTGATGCAAACCATGTAAAACAATCTGATACGTAGAAACTTGTGAAGGTTTTTATAAAACAAGCAAGTTATTACAAGCATAAACTATGTTAAACTCGAACAAAATCGAGAAATTCATTTTTGACAAATGTGTTTCTAACATCGTTACATACAAATGTATTCTCAAATTCGTTCAGCTTCACTATCGTTACATACAAAAATTTATTAATAATAACTTTAAACAAATATATTTAAAAGAAAACGATTATTTTAGTTCCTCAATTATATTATAGTGATAATTTAATCTTTCAATTATGCATATAACCCCCTTAAAAGCCCATCTCTCATTTAGTCTGCCCGGAGGATACATTCCCTAGAGGAATAAAGTTGGAATTGAATAGGTGGTGTTTGAGGAGACCTTCTCTATAGGTGTTTGAGGGAGAGATTGAATTATTTCAAGTGTTATTTGTTATATACTTTTTCAAATATTTTCAACTCAAAGAATCTAAGCTCCCACCGAAGTTTGAACCTTTGACCATTCACTTGGATGAATAATCGGGATTCCATCACTACATGGTAGTTGGTGCTTGCGAGCTGTTCTTTAGTTTCACTGCATTGCATTACATTGTTGTTTTAATACTGTCTAGCTAAAGGGAATATTATATTATATATTTAGTGTGTTCAAAACACAAAATGAGACTATAGTGTATCTAAAATTTGTCTCGCAAATTGTGTTTATATTATCAAACGAAACTATAATTGAATTAAAATGATACTTTAGTTGTGTTGAAATGAAACTGCAGTATGTATAAAATGAAACTGAATAACATGTCTCACATATCGAGTGTATATTGTCAAATTAAATTATAATAATGCTTTAAATTTTCATAAATTAAACCTCAGTATGTATAGAATGCAACCGAATAACATGTCTCATATAGTCACATATTAAGTGTATATTGTCAAATGTAACTGTAGTTATATCAAAATGATACTTTTTTAAAAATACCAAAATGATAATTTAGTTGTATTGTAATTAATCTACAATGTATATAAAATAAAACTGAATAACAATTTCATTTATTTGAGTATATATTGTCCAATGAAATCAAACCATAGTTGAATTAGAATTATAATTTAGTAGTATTGTAATAAAAATAAAATGAAATTCAATCACATGCAGGTCTCAATGTAATAAAACTACTGTATGTATAATGTCAAATGAAATTGTAGTTGAAACAAAATGAAACTTTAATTGTACTAAAATTAAACTACAATGTATATAAAATGAAATTAAATATGTTATACAAATATAACTAATTACACATAACAAGTGACCTTTCTTTTCACTTAAAAGAAACAACACCGTTTTGGACCATGGTCCACAGTAAAATTTGTCTCCAATGCCATAGGCAAGCTGCCTTGAACATGGCAAATTTCTAGGGTTCACACAATATGCGAAACATGAATAAAAGATACATTATTAATATATTAAAAGTACATTATTTATATACTGAATATACATTATTTGATAGTATATAAAATAATATACCTTCAATATTCAAATAATATACTTTCAGTATACAAATAATGTATTTTTAATATATTAAAAATATACTTTTTATTCATGATTCACACAACTATATGGAGGGTTGGTTCATTGGTTCATGGAGAATAATGATTGCTTGAACATCTAGGCTGGTATCATAACAGACTTAACACTTGAAAAGAATGAAAATTAACAAGCCAGTAATCAGCAGGCAAAAGCAGATGCCATAGCATATTTTTCTGAGATGTGCAACAATTGTGCAACAACTGTGCAATAATTGTGCAAACTCACAATTCCTGCTGTTTTTCTATGAATTACAAATTCCTTTCCACAACAAAATATACAAACCAATGACGAAAAAAGAAAATAAAACCGGACTGGCAGATTGTACAATTTTCGCAACCCACCCATGCAATCCAGAACATGAGAACTGAATTATAACTTTAACACCTTTCGGATAAGAATAATGATGCAGGGATATAAGCTTTACAACTACTATACAAAATTCCCTGTGATTCTGTAGTTAATCTCCTTCACCTAAAAGTCATGGAGATAGATATACCTTTCCTGCCATCCTGAGCCTCAGCCAAAGGGGAGATGATTTTTATCTAATTACTTCTTTGGGAAAGTTAGGTATGGATCTTGAGCTATAGCCAAGACATCTGGCCTCTCTGCTTGATTATATGTTAAACAACGGCGAATAAACTCCTGCATAAACCCAACGATACAATGAATATATGGATTAAAACCAGCAAGTTATATGAAGGTTTTGTTCCGAATAAATAACAGACAATTACAAGGCAGATGATTTGAATTTTAATTCACTTCTGTATAATTTTAAATTCTTTTCTAATTTCTGAAATATTAGAAAACAAAAATTGCAAGGCAGATGATTTGGTACATGTGCCTTGCCCTGTCCATTACATCCACCTAACACCTCAGTTGCCTTTTAAAGTACCAATAAAAATAATAACAAACTGTAATTAAATATGTAAA